GCAGTAAGGTTCTCATTATTTACTTATTATTATTTTTCCCTTGGGTTCCTAGCTGAATATAAGCCTTCGGTAAAACTTCTTAATTTCACTCTCTTCGACGCAGTCTTTTCAACCTGACTCCATCACTGACCACAACCTTTCATTTCTTTCTCACATGATCTCCTCTATGTCACCCTCCACTTTCTTCTACTGTATATTCATTGGGCGATGGGTTCTTGTTTCCTTGGTTCGTGATTTCCTTGTTGCTTATTCTCATCATTCTGGCCATCTGATCTTTACTATCAAGCCAGCGTAGGCAGCCACTGTTGATGAATATCTGTAGTTCGTTGGAAATTATACACACAAAGGTGGTTTCAATTTGTGTATGGCTATGGCTTCCTCAAATCTCAACATACGTCTCCGACTATTTTTAAATAAAACTTTGAAAGCTGTTTGAAGATTAATTTTGTGATCTGTTTCCATGATATGCTTAGCTACAGATGAAGAGGGTAGTCTTTTACCTGAGCTTATCGGAGGTTGGCGCTCTCCCAGCCTCAACTGCATGGCACGATTACTTCTCCCTGTGTATGTGTGACCACACACACATGTAAGTTGGCAAACACAATGGGAAGTGACGTAATCATTGATGCAGTGTTTAGGTTTTTGGTGAAGTATGAGTTTTGTTTTATCCACGATGATAAGATTAGCTGGGTTGTATGTTTTCCGAATGGCTGATGTTAACCTAAGTGTCAAAATCTTACTATTCAACTCCCCTGTGTATGATAGAGTGATATGGACGCTTTCCTTAGTAGCCATGTATAGAGTTGGCTTCGCTGCTACTGTATACACGGTTTCTAAGTAAAGCGTCTATATCATTCTGCCATACAGAGGATAGTTGACTAGTATCATTTTGAGACGCAGGCTGACATCAACCATTTGCAGAACACATTACGCAGCTAAGCTTATTTTTGGCCTAGACACTCCATTAACGATTACGTCATATCCCATTGTGTTTACCAATTAACATGTGTGTGTGGTCACAGACACATGGGAAGGAGTAATCGAGTCATGCCTAAATGGCTTCAAAAACAAATGGAGTGTGAAACAGTGATAAACGCTAGTGGGAGACTACCCTCTGCATCAATCACTAAACATTTCATAGAAACAGGTCACAAAGTTAATCTTCAAATAGATTTCAAAGTTTTATATAGAAACAGTCAGGGATATATTCCGAGATTTGCGGAAGCCTTAGGCACACACAAATTGAAACCGTCTTTATGTGTACACTACACTACCCCATAGTAAACTTTGTTTTCTTACCAAGATCAGAATCAACTATGTTACTCTTCCTGTTTATTCTCATCTTTCTTCATTTTAATCCCCTGCTTGTCTTAAGTGTTGTATTTATCCTCTCACTACTCGGTTTACAAGTAAATGTGACAAGTAAATGTGTGTGTGTGTGTGTGATCAGACTTTTCGAATCCATCATACCGTGTTCAACTTAACTTTGTCTTCGAATTACGCTATCGAAATTCATAAAAGAGACTAATGGTTTCAAATAGATAGGAAAGATTGATTTCCAGTAGCTGAGTAATCAGTCTATAATGGTTAGTAATAATCTATCTGTATACCATCTTCAATGATGAACAAGTTAAAGTAGATCTTGTCTAAGTCCATCTTTAGTGATTTACTAGATTTATCAAACAGTGAAGGAACAATACTGTTTACTGGATTACGTCCATCGTCATATCAAGATAACTACACAACTCTCAAACATCCTTCATATAGTCCTAATTTCCTCGCCCCCACCATTGTTACATGAGTAATAAGATTCTACACATATCCGAAACACATGCTCAGTCATTCCTGTTACTGCATGTTATAGGTGTTGGTTGATTCGATAAACAAAGATTCGGTGGTTAGCAATCTCTCCCTCCATCCCTGTTATTCTACTTTTAAGGACTTTTCACCCTATCTCATCCTATTGTATAGTTGTGTGTAATCACATGCATATCTATGGCTGAACTTTTTTTGCTAAATTACTTCCCTTACTAAGGTCTACCAATTTTGACCTAGCTAAGTTTCTGTGTTCCGATAGCTTAATTGATTCTGGTCGACTACTTTAACCTATGTATTTGACCTGGTAATCATTGCATGGGATTTGGTAAACTAAGCTGTTCTGCTTAATCGGGTCGATAGGATCTTTTAATCTACAAAGCTTATTTCGAAGTGGTACTACTAAAATTCATACACCAGGTTATCCTGTTAGATCCAGAGTAGACTTAAGAAACATTCCTACTTATGATTTATCTAAATACTTAACACTGCTACTAAGTTCAATTACAAACGGTTCTAAATCAAGAATTACTAACCCTTATGACTTGAAACACAGGTTAAATGACATACATTGAGATGACGATAAAGGGAATGGTTAGTTTTTAAGTGATTAGTTTGTATACTAATATAATAATTGACATGGGTCTGGAAGCAGTTAGAAACGAGCTGAATAATGACTATGGGCTTACACTACGAACTAAGTTACCAGTAGATGAGATCCTGTTAGGAGTGAAGCTATGCTTAACTTCCACAATATTTCGGTTTCACAGTAAAATATACAAACAAACAGAAGGAGTTGTCATGGCATCACCAATATCCCTCATTGTGACTAACATATTTGTGAATAGTTGAGAACAGATAGCTGCAAAAGCATGATTTCGATGTGTAAACGACACACCTACTTATAGAGTTGAAATCAGAGCACATACACAATTTCTCTACACAGATAAATTCAATAGTCAACGTAACCCAATTCACCTATGAATCAGAAGATGATGAACGGGATTTAGTGATGTTGACTTGTAGAGTAAGAACGGAAACAAGAAGGGAGTTTAGACACTAGTGTCTACAGAAAACCTTCATACTGGAATCGTTACTTAGACTTCAAATCGTCTCATCCTATGTCAGTTAAAGTTGGCTTAGTACAGCACTGCCACACAAAGAAGGCACCTGGGAAACAGTACGTAGAAGTCTCAATAAGGCTGGTTGAGATTAGAGTGGCATTTCAACCTACAAACCCACTTCGAAATAAGCTTTGTAGATTAAAAGATCCTATCGACCCGATTAAGCAGAACAGCTTAGTTTACCAAATCCCTTGCAATGATTGCCAGGTCAAATACATAGGTTAAAGTAGTCGACCACAATCAATTAGGCTATCGGAACACAGAAACTTAGCTAGGTCAAAATTGGTAGATCTTAGTAAGGGAAGTAATTTAGCAAAAACAGTTCAGCCATAGATATGCATGCGATTACACACAACTATACAATAGGATGAGATAGGGTAAAAAGTCTTTAAAAGTGGAATAACAGGGATGGAGGGAGAGATTGCTAACCACCGAATCTTTGTTTATCGAATCAACCAACACCTATAACATGCAGTAACAGGAATGACTGAGCATGTGTTTCGGATATGTGTAGAATTTTATTACCCATGTCACAATGGTGGGGGCGAGGAAATTAGGACTATATGAAGGATGTTTGAGAGTTGTGTAGTTATCTTGATATGACGATGGACGTAATCCAGTAAACAGTATTGTTCCTTCACTGTTTGATAAATCTAATTTGTCAATAAAATGGAATTACATTCTACTACAACGCACAAGTTTTACTCTTAGATCGTGTCTTAGTTGTCAATATACCAGAAGACTAAATATATTTCTCAACTGAATGACCTTTCTTAACAATACAATAAACGAAAAGAAGCTAAGTGTACGATAATAATAATAATAATAATAATAATAATAATAATAATAATAATAATAATTGCATTATAGGTTCGTTTGATTTCAGTTGACCATCAGTAGTTATAAGTTGAGTAAAACATAAGAAAAAAACGCTTAAACATAATTAACTATATTTCATTAAAACGATGAATTGGTATATATACATATATAAACTTTATGCCTCTTTTAGCGATATAAAATTTATTCGTTAATATTTTACACTTTAAAGTACACTTCTGTCTTGCTAGTTACATATCATTAATTCACACTTTTTTTAACTATCGGTTCAATGTTCAATAAATTCAACGTGTTCAATGCCACATAATACGAATGTTGGATTTTCTTTCCTTTTTTGTTTGTTTTAGTTTGCTTAAATTGTATCATCAGATTGGATAAGTATCATTACTATTATATTTGCTAGTTAATTGAGTATATTATAATTATTTTTATGTAAACAATGATTACAGAAAGTTCTGCTGAAGATATAATCAGAAATAGTAAATTGTGGTGAAATATTTTCTAAAATATCTTGGTTGTATTGTATTCTCTGAGCTGGATTGTTTAATCGTGAAGTTTTCATCGTCTTGTTAGACGACATCTTCACTAACTACCACTAGCAAAACGATGAAAGCTTCACGATTAAACAACCCATCTCAGAGAATACAATACAACCAAGAGTATCCACCTGAGCTACAAATATTCTTCATCATTTCTAAAATGTCCATCTTGTTCTGTATATTATGTTGCTACTTGTAGCATTCCGATTGCAGTCGTTCCTGGGTTCAAATCTTAGTGGGAACGACATGGTTCACTGTGAAGTAGGTAGTATCCAGCTAACGAGTCCAAATTCGGATGAAATGCACGTTCTGAATTCAACTCCTAGCTACAATTCATCGATAATATAAAATTGAAACATAGCCAATGTCAAGGCATTCTCTCAGATGCTCATAAGCTAATAGAAACCGATCAATTCGATTCAATCAACAATGAAATATTACAAGCAATGATATTAAAAATTATACCCATCGCACAAGACATAACTTTCAGTGGTTTGCTGGTCTAGTAGATAGCGCTTTGACTTTTGAAGAGATTAGCGCCGAATTTGAATCTTAATATGAATAACGTCACTCACTGGGAAATAGGTACTATCCATTAATAATATTCTGTATATTTTTCATTTGATCGTTTACCTAATACTTTTCATTCATCAGTATCAAATTTTTTTTTTTCATACTAAAATAGTTCTCAAATTCGACAGAAAATTCGAGTAAAACTAGTCCTTCCATGTAATGATGACTATTTGAATTGCTAATTATTTAAATATGCCATTTGTACGTGAGTCTATTCATGTAAGAAAAGATATACCACATAGTTGGCAGGTATGCAGTGATGAAGTCAGCTCTTTGTATATACGCAATTATCGAGATTTATCTCATCAATATAAGAAAATTTTGGAATCAAAGGTAGGTGATTTTACTTTTTGGTTTGCCTTAAGGAATTTGATTCGTTGTTCTTCTGTAAAGAGATATGCTGTTGATTATTCAACACATTGATGTGTAGGAACTTGTGAATTAGACAATCTAACATGACAGGTGCACCTATCTAGGCAGCACTGTTTCAACTACAGACGACACAGGTACAGACGAGGATGTCACAACAGTCACGATCGGAAAACGAAGACAGACGTTCATTTACCTGAAATCAGTGTGGAGATCTACTGCACTGTACTCCACTCAGCATAAAGTATGAACAACATCTGGATTTTCAACACCAATTCAGTCAAGTCAGTGCTTCTAGGTGATGGTTCAGGGACTTGGAGCGTTACGAAAAGCATTTCCAACAAACTATAGACATTCATCAGCAACTGCCTACTCTGGCTGGATACTGAAGATCACATGGCCAGAATAATGAGAATAAGCAAGAAGGAACTCTGACTGGCTGGCTGGCTGGCAACGAACCAACGAAACGAGAACCTATCACCCAACAAATATGCACTGGAAAGAAGTGGAGTGGACTGGGCATACACTAAGAAGGCCTCTTTGGGACATCATGCACCAAGCACTCGAGTGGAAGCCACATGGGAAACGACGAGTTGGGCTTCCGATGTGAGTCTGACATGGAGAAGATGGTGTGAGGAATAAACAGAGCTTGTGGGCAGTTTTGGAGCCAGGTTGAAAAGACTGCAGAGAACACAGTGTGCAATGGAGGTGCGCTAGTGAAGTGGTACGTTCCACTAGGAACCCAAGGCACAAATAATTATATATATGGTCTAGTCTTCTGTCAAAAAGAGATTGAAGGGATAAATTGTTAGATTAATTTTCATGCTTGGGTATACATGAAGTTCTAGTTGTGCATGAGATAAATCACATACCTAAGCAAAATTACTCAATCATATGATAAGAAATATCATGGAATGTACTATGAAATTCTATCAAGTATATCACCCACCTCTGAACTAATTTTTAAGGATATTGAATATTAAATAGATGGAGAAAGTGAGAAACAATCTTCTGGAAAAAAACTTTTATAGGTTAATCACAGACTTGGAATAGAATTCATATAGCATATTTTCTGTCAATTTGTTCTAGAATCATATGACTTCAGAGTTGATTAATGCGGTTAAAATACTCTTAGCAAAGTCACCTCGCCTTGAAAGAACGTAAACACACTAGTAACATATAAATACTCAAATTGGTACACTTCTTGAAAACGTGCAATAAGATTTCTAATGGAATGATATTCTAACATTTGGTCAGTTGATAAGTATGCAGACTTGGAAACTTCCAAAATCAGAGGAAGTAATTTCATGAAGCTTGTAGGAAACGCAAAAAAAATTTGTTTCATTGTGATTACATTTGCTTTAATGGAGGGATAAAACCGAATGGACTAGGTTGTTTTGTGTTCTCTGAGTTGCATTGTTTAATTGTGGAGCTTCGATCGTTTTCTGTATGATATTAATAGCAGCAACTTCAGTATGAAGTTAGTGATTATTATTTTTTCTTTGAGTTCCAAGTGGAATATAAGGCTTAAGTAACACGTCACCGTTTCACTCACCTCTACGCAGTCTTTCCCTTCAACCTGACTCCACCACCACCAACAACCTTTCATTCCTTCCAAACACACCATCTCCTCCAAGTCACTCTCACCTGGGACGCCCAACTCATCGTTTCCCATTCGGATTCAACTCGACTGCCTGGTCTGACCTAGTGTGTGGTGTCCCCACAGCGTCTTCTCAGTGTATCTCCGATCCAATCCAATTCAATTCAATCCATCTCCACTTCCTTCTACTTCATATCTGTTGGGCGATAGCTTCTCACCTCATTGGTTCGTTGCCATGCAAGAGTGATTTCCCTGTTGATTATTCTTATTGTTCTGGCATCTCATCTTCAGTATCGAGTGAGAGTAGGCAGCAGCTGTTGATGAATGTGTGTAGTTTGTTGAAAATGCATTTCGTAGTGTGTCAACTCTCTCAACCACCACATGGAAGCACTGATTGATTAGACTGACATGAGTGTTGGAAATCCGGATGTTGTTCACGCTTTATGCTGAGTGCAGTGCAGTGCAGTGCAATGCAGTGCAATGCAGCAGATCTCCATCTCCACACTGATTATCTCAGATTAATGAAGGAAGGCGTGTCTTACTGTCTTTCCAATCCTGACTGCCTTCACTTCCTCATCTGTGACTATGCCTTTGTCTGTATCGCCTGTAGTTGAAACGATTCTGCCTAGGTCTAGGTTGGGTTGGAGAGACAACTTCCTTCACATTTCCCCGTTCATGGTGGTTGGTGCTGGTTGTTGTTGTTGTTGTTGTTGTTGTCGGGTTGGTATCCTCATCACCTCCGTCTTCTCTTCGTTCACCTGAAGCAAGTCTTATCTTCCTTCACTGTCCTGCCTCACAACTTGTTAGTTTTCACCTGTACATCTTCGAGTTTGTGAGACAAGACATTACACATAAATCATCATCATCAACATCGGCGGTGAAATCCAAATCATCTTCTAGTGTCTTTTCTTTAATGCAGACAGCGCATGCTCCTCTTCTCTCTCCTCACATTTTGTTGCACGACCCAGTCGAGTCGAGTCCAGTCGAGTCGAGTCGAGGTGAGTAGAGTCGAATCGACCACAATCACGAAGGTGATGGCTGATAGTAGACGGCAACCTTGTCTTACTCCTGTCACCTATCTTCTCTTCAAAGGTATTGCTGAGCTTTCTTTCCATTGTGAATCACTTGGCATGTAGCCTCATCATATGGCATATGGCTGGTGTTGAATGAGGTTGATAAAGTGTTATGGTATTGAAAGTGTAGTGTTGAAGCAGTTGCCCAATTACTTGTCGATTGACTCTGTCGAGGTCCTTTTCAAAATCGATGAAGTTGATGTTGAGTTCAGTTGACTGCTATTCATTCTATGCTGTGTTGTATGATGAAGCGTAGTGTAGTGTTGTAATTTGATATACACATGATTTGTTCTTTGTGAATGTAGTCAGCCTGTTGTGTTGTTAATTTTGAATGGGGAGCATATTTTCCTCTCTGGAGGATGATGTGGCTTGATATTCTGCTTGTGTGTGTTTGGAGAGGGAACATGATTGCTCTCCAGTTCTTGGAAACACTTACATGTGGTATCTAAATGATTCTGCATCTGTTCTAGTTATGAACTATGTAAACTGTCTCAAGATTGTGGAGTTACATGATATGAATATGGAAACTAAATTGTCTGAAACATTATTCAGTAGATGATTCTGTTTCAGTGTGTCTGATAATTCTAATAAACAGACTAAAGATAGCGACCAAGCAGTTCGATACAGTGTACCAGTGGGAATTAAACCTATCAAGTAAAATCTCATAACACTTTGACGTTCAAAGCGATAGATGCTGGTTTCAAGTCTCAGTGAGATTAACATCACTCACGGGGGGGGGGGAGGTACATCCGGTTGATGGTCCCAAATAAGACGAAATGCGCATTCTGGATCTCACTGCTAGTTAGTCAGCAGACAGACAATCTAACACAGTGTCGAAGTTTTTCTCCTATTTTATTAGCATTCAAGTAGTTTAATTTCCACCTGAATGCTGAGAATATTGAAGGCTGTTCATTATCCTTTTCATTTGGTTGTGGTAACCGTTTATAGTGCAGTCATAGATTTACAAGTAGAATGTGATCACCTTAGATATCGTTTTTTAAAAATAATAAACTTTGTCCCTAATCATCCAATATGCATAATCTTTGATCTATACACATGCGTATATTAGACCTTTAGTTTACTCTTTTTTATGGACTGATTTGTTCTGAACAATCATAAAAGTGCCAACCGAGTAGTAGTAATAGTAGTAGAGGGTGAGTAAGTTGTGGCTTACACTTCGTCTAATTAGTTGATAACTTGAGTATTCTTAAGTGCGTTTATGCCATAACCACCTCATACTTTTTGTTGTTTTTTTATAAGAATTTTACTCAACTACTTACAACGAACTGAGTAGTTAGAAATAGAGTTTTATAACGAATACATATTCTTTCGTTAAATTCTCATAAGGCTTTACATTTACAAATTATTCAGCATAGCCATTATATGATACCAACATGATTAATTGAATTCTGGTAGATGAATTAGAAGATAACAAACAACAAAGGTGATAATAACAAAATAAAAAAAAATCTCGGAAAGTTTCTACATTCTCATAATCAATCCTTGAGGATGTGTGCGTATGTGTTTGTTTACAGGCACTCTGTGCCTGTATTCATCACGAAGTGACATCATTTGGGGAAGCATTGAAAACCTGGGAGTACTGGACAGTTGCTGCATCCCAGCATACGACTCTTCAGTAGTACGCACCCACAACCCCCACTAGGGATCGGAACTCACGACCTTCAGGTTTCACAGTCAACGCGTTAACCATTCAGACACTGGGTTGCAATTCGATGGTTCACAGTTTCCAACTTCACGATACAGTGTGACTATCACCCAACACGTTCACAATGCAGCCTGAAAGTCGTCAGTTCAATGACTAACCAGATCGTGGGTGCGTGCTGCTGAAGAGTCTCGTACTAGGATGAAGCAGTTGTCCAGTGCTCGCAAATTCTCACTGCTTCCCCCAACTCACATCACTCCGTGATCAATACTACCTCAAAGTTGAAAATCCCCATTCCTCTCCCAAATAAAATTATTGTCACCTAGTGATTAGATAACAGAATGTACAAACAGAGATAATATTTACTGTTATCCGGATGATTGGGAAGGAATTTAGTGTAATTGTGTTTAGGTTGAAGTTGAACGCTATGGGAGTGAAGGGAAAGAGAATGAACAAACATCTTGTGAATACACAGATCCAGTTTGAAAATTTTAATTGTTATGACTTGTGCATTGCTTAGCAATTGGAGGCGCACAGAATTGGAGTGTAGTGAAGTGACTTTATAAATAGTAGTAAGTGGTGAGAATTTGTTAATTTTGTGTTCAGTATCTAGTAGATGGTGGAGCATTGAGTTTTTGATGGATTTCACTGTTCCTTTGCCAAACCACTCTAGATGGTGTTTAGTGAAGTGATGGTGGGCTTACTGAGTCCTTCTACCTATGTAACTATCTCCACAGGTGTAGTTAGATTTATAAATGCACATAGATGTGGTGAGATTCGTAAGCCTATCCATCAACTGCATTGTCATCATGTGGAGAGTAGTAAACATCAAATATGGTGAGGAGGCAAAGAAGGTTTTTTTTAATCAGATTTCTGAGTTTCCGTATCAATATTTCTTCAATTACATCTCGTTTGAACGCTAAGGTTTGATACAATCGTTTGTACTCTGCACCATTTGAAGGCGCTTTTCTGCAGCTGTTTTTTATTGTTACAGTACTTACGAACTGTTCAAGATACTCGTAATCATATAAAGAGTTCTCTGCTGTTCTTAATTCAGCTGTGCAAATATAATACCGACTCGAAATCTTAGTGTACGAATTAAATTCCTTTTGCACATAACGAAGAAGAATGTGTAAACCGACGGACCCATAATTCCTTACAATAAATACGATGTCTGATACTGCGCTATGTCCGTTTTGATAGTAAAACATCTAGAAATGTCAGATCTCCGTCTATTTTTGTTTCACAGATGAACTCAATTTCTGAATATCAGGATTAGTATCATTTTAACACAGAATAAAAGTGTCATGTATGTATCTACAATAGAAAGGACAATTTATCTATCATGCTGCTCAGTGGTCCACTTTCTTTCCTCGATCAGTCTTTTGTTTAACTATCAAAATGGGAATATTTAGTGTGCTGAATAAACTTTATCCCTTAATGAATGAGTAGCAGTGGTGAGAGATTACAAGTATTCAATTCAAGTAAACTCACTTTCACTCCAGCAACTGAATCGATAACTTTAAACTGTTTATCAAAACCCTTCATCAAACTTATAATATGTGTAGGCTTTAACAAGCTTGTGTGCACAATCTATTCAGTCCTGTTTGCATTGGGAAAGCCAGTTTCCCCCTTAAGATCAAAGCTTTTTAAGCAATTGAATATCGTGAGACTACTCTGATTTGATAAACTGATCTATGCTTATCGAAATATTATTATTATTATTATTTGTCGCTTAGGTTCATAGTGGAACATAGGGCTTCACTAGCACTTCGCCATTTCACTCTGTTCTATGTAGTCTTTTCAGACTGGCTCCATAACTTTACAGAAGCTTTCATTTCTTCCTTATATGCTTATAGAATAGTAGTGTTGAATGAAAGTTGTTAAAATAAATCGAATAAATAACTACCAATATGATGTTTTCCTGTATAACCTACCTCATTTACTTTCCTCCTCTAGGTTCCAATACTGCTCTATAATGGTGATGTTGATATGGTGTGCAACTTTATCGGAGATGAATGGTTTGTAGACAATTTGAAGTTAAAAGTAAGTTTTAGGTTGTTGTTTTTCCAAGAATGAGTATTCGTTTCGATTCAGCAAATTAACAATACTTTGTCTGAATCGATTAATTCAGTAATAATCTTTGACAATTCTTTGAAGAAGTGGCTTCCACGTGAATACAAGACGTTATTAAGACTTAAAAATTATATTTGCTTTATAAACTATTTGACTAATATTCAGCCAATCCAAGGTTATATCATAATTGCAATATTATCATTATTTGTCCCTTGGGTTCCTAATGGAACATACGGCTTCTACAGCACGTCTCCATTCCACTCTGTTCTCTGCAGTCTTTTGAACCTCGCTCCACGACTGCGCACAACCTTTCATTTCTTCCTCACACCATCTCATCCATGTCACCCTCAGATGCGCCGCCCAACTCGTTGCTTCCCATCTGGGCTCCATTAGAGTGACTGGCCTGGCGCGTGATGTCCACAGTCGGCCTTCTCAGTGTATGCCCAATCCATCTCCACTTCCTTCTTCTGCATATTTGTTGAGTGATAGGTTCTCGCTTCGTTGCCAGCCAGTCTGTCATAGTTCCTTCTTGCTTATTCTCATTGTTCTGGCTATCTGGTCTTCAGTAACGAGCCAGTGTAGGCAGTTGTTGATGTATATCTGCAGTTTGTTGGAAATGCTTTTCATAACGCGACAAGTTTATGAACCATACAGCAGCACTGTTTTGACTGAATTGGTGTTGAAAATCCGGATGTTGTTCACAATTTATGCTGAGTGGAGTACAGTGCAGTAGATCTCCACACTGATTTCAGGTAAATGAACGTCTGTCTTCCTTTTCCGATCCTGGCTGCTGTGACATCCTCGTCTGTGCCTGTAGTCGAAACAGTGCCGCTCTGCCTAGGTAGGTGAAAGAGGCTACTTCTTTGAAGTTTCTCCCGTTGATGGTGATTAGAGCTTCTTGTTGTTGTTGGAGTTGTTGGTGCGGTATCTTCATCACCTCTGTCTTCTCTATATTCACTTGAAGTTCCGTCTTCTCTGCCCTACCTCTTCTGTCAACTTGTTAGTTTTTGCCTGTAGATCTTCAAGGTTATATCATAATTGCAACTGCTATACAGTTATCCTAAGAGAGGCAAATATACGAGCGAATTCATATTTTCATCTAATCATTAATATAGAATTGAAACGTAGGCACTGGAGTAGATTTTAATTCCATTTTAGTCTGTTTATTAGAAATGTCACACACAGTGAAGAAACAGTATCACTGACTGGAGAACGTACTTTTCAGACACAATTTATTGTCCACAGTCATATCAGGTAACTCCACAATGTGGAGACAGAGTTTATATAGTCCTAACTGTCTCTCTCCTTCTTTGTCATAAGGCTAGAATCAATTCCTGTTGCATGTGTCTGGTGATGATTCGACACACAAAGATTCACTCGGTCATCAATCTCTCCCTGCCTTCACCCAACTACGTTAGTTTTTAAAACTGTCACTTCATCCCACCCTACTGTATGATTATGTGTAATTGCGTGCACAGCTATAGCTCAGCTTTTCTCTAAATGTCTTTTCTTATTAGGATCGACTAATGTTGATTTAGCTAAGTCTTTGTGCTCCTTTATTCGAATCGACCCTGGTCGACTACTTTCACCTATGTATTTGACATAGTAATTTTTGCAAGCGATTTAGTACACCACATTATTTTGCTCACTTGCATCAACAGGTGACTTTGTTGGTTTAAAAAGCAGCCACTTTAATCCCAGTGTTACTGAGAATTCCTCCTAAGGCTTCCGAGGTGACTTCCTTGTATGGTAACACAGCAGAGGCATTGAATTCGCCCTCAACCCCATCGCCATTCTTACCATTAGTAGTAGAATTACTATCGGTAATACCTGTATTACTACTACTACTACTACTACTACTACTACTACTACTACTACTACTACTACTACTACTACTACTACTACCACCACCACCACCACTACGACTCTCACTACTACTTACCAGTCTTCCAACACTTACATGCTACAAACTGACTAATAGGCGAGCGCTGCTTTTCAGCCTGATTGAGACTCGCTGAAGATTAAAATACAGTTTAATATGAAAGAATTAACTGTCTAAACTGTGTCAAATAGGAGGTTTACGGGGATTTACTTATTGTTTTCAGGTTGGTATTCATCATGGACTGAAGTAACTTAGGGGAAACACCGAAAAACTGGGAGCACTGGACATCTATTTCTTCCTGGTGTGGGACTCCTTAGCGGTGAACAGCTTACCAGGTATCGAACCTAGGATCTTCAGGTAACATGCTGGCCATGGAACCTGAGGGTAGTGGGTCCGATCCTTGGTGGGTTTACAGGTGCGCACTGTTGAAGAGTCGCATACTTGGACGAAACAGTTATGAAGTGCTCCCAGACTTCCAATATTTCTCCAGATGATATCGGCTCATGATGAGCACCAACCTTAAACGAATAAATTCAATCGATTCGGTAACACTGATGATTAGCACGATCTGAAACTACAGGAACAACCATCCCATTGTTCGGTCACTTCGTTAAATACCTAGGATACATTATCAACGGACTGGTCAAAGCTGTTTCTAACTGTTAATATGAAACAGTATTAGATGTTGTGCACTTCTCCTTGATCCTGTCACTTTCTTGATATCATTCATGGTGTTGGATAGATTGTAGTTTGTTGTCAGAAAACTTTGGCTTACAAAAGAAGTCATTGCTGAGAATCTTATTGTTACCAAGTTTTGAGAATCTCACGAACTTAAGGTTGAAACTAATTAATGGCTAACATCAGTAAGAGGAACATTGGAAGCTTGTGAGCACTGAACAGCTGTTTCATAAGTGGTTTAAAATGAGGTTGTATACATGCTTTTTGACCATTAACCTTTGTGCTCGAGGTACTTCCTGCCACCATTTACTTCAGGCGCACCTTGGAACTTTTGAGTTTTAGTCCGGAGGAACTGTACCTGCACTTTCCAAATTTCCAGTGTCCTCTAAAATTTTCAATTATTTCCGTTGGCTGTTTCTATTTGATTGATTTGTAATACACAAACACATGTGGCAGTGAAACGTAAACGATATACATTCGAATATTATGAAATATGGCTTCTCAGAACTGGGAATATAACTTAGGGCCCACTGCCTACACTTTGTGAATTTTGGGAGAGTTGTATACAATTCAGGGGCACTTAGAAACTTTTGACAGTTTCGGGTCAAATGTTTAAGAACTTTGGGGAATATCGTGCATCTTCCAATCTGCGTTCGAAGTAAAATTTTCGGGTTTTGGCCCAAAACTTACAATGTGCGCTCGAAACAAATTCTGGCTGAGTTCATGAGACACTTATTGAATAAATTTCTGTCAAACTACCAAATATGTGCAGCAATTGAGTCCATTAAAGTTAAACACTAACACTATACTCCTTCTCCGTTCTAGCCTCTGCTTTCTCGTTACTAATTTACTACGATGAAGTTCCTTAAGTTGAAGTATATTGTTGAGTCTGCGTTCATTGAGTCCCAGCTTCTAAGATGTCTGCATAAATGTAATAACTCTTTAGCAAATGAAAATAAATAACTTAGTTGACTCAGTAGGTTGACCCTAGTAATTAATGGAGTAGTCAATTAATCTTGTTTGGAGACTCTAAGGGATATGGCTGAGGACCGATGTCAGTGGCGCAGATGTATCCCCACACACATTATCCTCATCTTAACGACGCTCTACCGAATCTCACCATTTTCTCATTCTCCATTTCTTTCTTCTCGTACTTTATATTTCTTTCGACTGCATTCTCTTATCTTCATCTTCCACCTCACTACCTTTCTACTTGATGTACTGTACTGATATGAGGTGTGGTAACTCAGACCGTTACGCAGTAATGCCTGGTCCTATGTTGATATTGATTTCATCCTAGCATAGGAGTCCTCAGAGGTGCTCGTTCATGACCCAGAACTCAGGTACACAGGACCTACAGGTTCTGAGGTCAGCACTTTGTCCTCATGCATAGCACGACATCCATTCAATGCCATCGTTGAATAACTGTTCTCATGTTCAAGTTGACGACTTATTGTTGGAACTTCAGGAATCATCTCTCAGATTTGGTCACTGATAAACTCAAGATTTCACTACTAAGTGAGACGATGTTCACAATTCTTAAATTCACTCAGAATAATACTTTCAATCTTACTGAAAGTCAACCTTGTAATCATATAGTTGACATAGTTTTCATTGTTACTTATCTTTTATATGATAATTCTGTCTTTAATTTAGCTTCATGATTATCGACAACATTGGATATACACATCTGAAGATGGTACAAAACAAATTGGAGGATATTGGAAATCATTTTCGAAGAATAATGTGAAATTTATCTATTCAACTGTTCGAGGAGCTGGCCATATGGTACCTAGAGATAGGCCAGTTGCTATGTTCCATTTAATTCAGTCTTTTCTAGAGAAAAAAAGTCTATAAAAAAAAGTATTTTATCTATTTCAATATATATTTAATCATTTTCATACAGATTATGTTTTGATTGAATTTACCGATTTTATAAATCATACAAATGAACTCTTCACTATTGAACACTTTGGATAATAATAAGTTTTCGATTGAAATTATTATTGTTATTATTATTAGTATTATTATTTGCCCCTTGGGTTCCTAATGGAACATACGGCTTCTGTAGCACATCTCATTCCACTTTGTTCTCTGCAGTCTTTTGAACCTGCCTCTACGACAGCTCACTAGCTGCCTTCATTTCTTCCTCACACACCATCTTCTCCATGTCATCCTCGGACTCCCAACTGATCGCTTCCCTTTCGGATTCCACTCGAGGGTCTGGCACGTGATGTCCACAGTCGGTTATCTCAGTGTATGCCCAATCTAATCCATCTCACTTCCTTCCACTGCATATTTGTTGGGTGATAGGTTCTCGCTTCGTTGGTTCGTTGCCAGACAGCCAGTCAGAGAGCCTTGTTGCTTATTCTTATTATTCTGGCCATCTGATCTCTAGAATCGAGCTGGTGTAGGCAGTTGTTCATGAATGTCTGTAGTTCGATTGAAATAGCTGGTCATTATATCTTTTTTTACAGGTGAACTGGTATCTTTTTATGTTATTTGTTTTCATCTTCAGGTTCAGCGGTATTGAAACGTTTATACTAAGGCATTATCTACCTTGACGTATCATGCTAGATGATGTACGATTAGGTTGGAAGAGGTTTTAGTGTGACCAGAACAAGATGTGGTATCAATTCCTGAAATTTGTCAGTCTTAGTTTGAACTGTATGAGGAGATATTGACTACCTGAGTGAAGGTATTTGAGACGATAGGAATTAGTGGTTGACAACTTTTTGGGAAATCGCTGGATATCGGTGACAACAGCACCGATTGATATCTTCACTAACCATCATCTTCAAATTATCTATCCTGTTACACAACTTTTCCGTTGGATATTAACGTTAAAGTTTGACAACTTGAACAGATGCATTTGTGTGTGTAAGGTTCTATATCGATTTCCTCTGTCTGTCTGGTAGAAGTAGGAACTTCCTGACATCCATCTAGAAGCAAGTCACTAATGAGCACTATACAGTAATGTATTTTTGAGATGAATGGGAATTTTTAATTTAGAAGTAGTATTCATCATGGACTGACATCCGTTGGGGAATCATTGAAAATCTGGGAGCACTGGACAGCTGTTTCGTCCTTAACTGATTCCTTGGTTATCTATAGTCTCTTAACTGCTATCGCAACGAATATTCTGCGACCTGTTAAAACTGAAGTATGTACAGAGACAGTAAATTAAAACGGTTACATTTCTTCTGGTATTCTTCATTGTGTTACATGTTGATGTTCAACATTGGTGGACAACTACCTCATATCACGCACAGATATATACGTGAACATTTTTAAGAATAACCACTTTATGCTGATTCGAAATCATGTGTTTCGAAAATTTGTCAGAATTTCAATTCCCAACCTTAGAAACTAGCACTCTACGAAACGAAAAAACATTTTCTCTCCCATTTCGATTTTACTTTCTGTTTTTTGCATATCGTTCTGTGCTACTTTTAATTAGTAAGTAGTGTAAGTTGTATTCGTTAAAACGTTTCATGTTCTGTCTCAACATTGATAGTTCATTTCTGTCATTATCGTATTTTTATTTGTCAAAGAATCATTTAATGGTTTTCATTTTCAATTTCTGTGAGGAAATTCACAAAAACTAACATCAAAATTATTTCACCAAGCCTGGGAATTTTCACGATCACCTAATATTGATATGTATGTTTCTATTGACATTGGAAAGGATTGTTATTTGTGCCAAAAACAATAGTCTGTGGTAACAAATTTACTTGAATTACTAAAAAAAACTCTAACAAATCAATAATTTTAAGGTAATATTCGTCCCAGACTGACAATAGTTGAGAAAAGTCAAAAACCTGGGGGGTATCAGACAGCTGTTTCTTCCTGGAATGGGACTATTCAATGGTACTCATCCAATACTCTTCTCTTTCAGGCGTTGAACTCAGGACCTTCAGGTTTCACAGCGAACGCGTTAACTACTGAAACGTCCCATACTAGAAGGGGGAAACATATTTCTAGTTCTCCTAGGTATTCGATAGTTCTCCAGATGATGTCAGTCTCTGATGAATATATCCTTCAAATAAATAAGATTCATATAAATCTCAAGCTAAATAGTTTGCTTTTTAGATGACATTTTAGTTCGAGATATGCTTTTGAAGAATAGGGAAAATGACAAAGTGGAAGAACTTTTTATCTTATGAATCAATATAAGCAATGAGCATTTTCTGGAAAGGATTTTGTTTTATTTTTCGAATTGTATTTCTATGTGATATGGTTTGTGATGAATCCAATTTCCTTGGTTTACAATTATTCTGAGTTGTACAGTTAAAAATATTATCATATGAAACAATAGGAATTCTGGAAAGTAAATGTAAAAGGGGATAGTGATCTCGACCAAATATTTCTTCATAAGTCAATTCCAATGGATTCGAACCTGTAGGGTTAAGAAACGAGGTTTTAGTTATTTCTAACCACTTAAATGTTAATAATACTTGATTAAACTGAAATTTATGTATAGAAAGGAGTTTATCAAGGTGTTATTGAGAGTATACGGTTTATATACCTGAAATGAAGGGGGAAATTGTTTCTCAAAAACAACGTTATTACTTGTATTATTCCACCGTTGAGTAGACCAAATTGATCTGTCTCTGCCGATATATGGGCTCCTGTGCAGACACCTCGATATTGTTTGTCATTTCAATTTGATATTATTGATGGATAGTGGCTGACTATGGAGTCCAGGGTGCGCGTTTCGTCTTGTTTAGGGTTCATCAGCTGGGTGTGCCTGTACAAGCAATAACATTGAAACTACACCCACCAAACAAGAAGTGGCTATCGTGACTTAGTAGTCTATTTGGATAACAATCTGGCATTTGAAGCAATCGGCGCCGAGTTCTAGTGGAAACAACATCACTCACTGGGAAAGACGTATGTCTAGTTGACGAGTCGCTTAAAGGATGAAATATACAGCTCGGAGTTTACTGTTGGCCACTATCCATCAATAACATATGGTTTCTCACGCAGCCTACTGTATAAATACCAGCAACTCAGTGAGAACACTGATTCGGAGGACAAGATCACGTTATGTATTTCATAGAATTCTCTTCAGCAGCATACAACCTGAACAAATAGGTAAATAATTGCCATTCTAAACAGTAAAATACCTTTACAATACTGGTTAGAGTATTTTAAAAATCAAAAAATGTTCAGGTAATAAATTCCGTCGAACTGTATAACAATTATGTGTAAGGTAAGGTGCGGAATTTTCACTATTGAATGATATAAGATTAGAAGTAACCAGAAAGGGTTATGTAATCAGGTGGATTTATGATGTTAACAATATGATAAGTGGGTGACATATAATACTGAATATAGTAATAGTGATACTCTAGTCAATATGGATATCCAATTCCATCTTAGTCTGTTTATTAGAAATGTCAGATACAATGAAGTAATGGTATGATCTACTGGATAACGTTTCGGACACAATTTATTGTTCATATTCATATCACGTCACGTAACTCCACAACTTCGAGACAGAGTTTATTAAGTCCTCACTCTCTCTCTCTCTCCTTCTTTGTAATGACAGGGGTAATAGAATTCTCCATATATCTGGAATAGGTGTAGGATCATTTCCATTACTGCATGTATATTTGATGTTGATTCGATAAAGAAAGATTCAATCGGTGACCAATCTCTCCTTCCATGTACCCAACTAAGTTAGTTTTTATTGCTGTCGCTCTATCCCCCCTCCACCCTACTGTGTGATTTTGTATGAATGTACTTATCTTCATTTAGTTAAGTTTCTGTTCTCTGTTATTCTAATTGACCCTGGTCGACTACTTTCACCTATGTATTTGACCTCATAATCATTTCCATGGATTCGGTAAACTAGATTATTTTGCTTGATTGCATTGATAGAATCTTTCAACGTAAAAAGCCACTTTAGTCTCAGCCAGCTTATTGAGAATTCTTCGTAATGCTTCTAAGGTGCCTTCTTTGTATGGTAATACAGCAGGGGCTTTGAATTCTCTCTCAACTCTGTCACCATTATTACTATTAGTAGTAGAATTATTATTAATAACGCCAGTATTACTACCACTACTACTGCTCATATTCTTCCTTCGATTTCTTTTGAATTTGTCAAAGTAGCGATTCAAATGGGAAGGTTTTCTATAGACACTAGTCTCTAAACTTCCATGGTTTTTTCGTTTAATCATGCAACCCAACACTTACTAGCTCGTCTTCATCACTTTGTAAGTCAAAGGCAAATGGGATTAGATTCACTACTGAATTTATATGTGCCAAGAACCTACTGATATGTACCGATTTCAGTACGATAAACGTACCATCTACATATCGGAACCATATCTTTGGAGTAGTACTAAATGTAAGAAGCGTCATCTATCCATAAATATGTCTGCAACGATAGGGGATATTGGTGATCCCATAGCAACCCCTTCAGTTTGCTTATACATTTTATTTTGAAACTTAAGAAGTGTAGATTTTTGGCACAATTGTACTCCTAGCACGATATCCTCTATCGACACTTTAGTTCGATGCGTAAACTGATTGTCATCCTTAAGCCCATTTCTAACTGCCTCTAGAGCCATGTCAATCTGTATATTCATGTACAGCCTAGTTATGTTAAAACCGATCATTTTTACATTCTTATAAACTCGTCTATCATCTTATCTATGCTTTAAGTGATTTCTTTTCGGGAATTTTGTGGTTCTGAGTGGTTGTTTAGATGGTATAAAATTCAGGTAGAAGCCACTTCTTAGCTCTACTTAACTGTTTTATCCTTTCAAAAAAGTGAAGTGATGTTAAAGGGAAGAAATATCAACAGGATTCGAGTCAGTAATCATTTACTGATTGAATTCATTAAAAGTTCACAGGTTATTGACATCGTATAGAGAAAAAGCTAAACAATAATAACATTTATATCAATCATTACCGAAATTCTCATATCGATGGAAGATAACTTTTCTTAATCCTTACTGGTCAATTAGCAAACTGACATAAGCAGATCTTTTAATAGGACAGAT